CGAATCGATAGAAATGCTGAGTCCCTTCGGCATCGACTCCAGCGATCTGAGCGAGCCCTTCCGCTGCGACTACGGGGGCTGCATTCCGTCCCAGTTCATGTGCAACGGCCACCTGGACTGCTGGGATGGCTCCGACGAGACGCAGGAGATTTGCTTGCACCACAAGTGAGGACCAGTGGATTGCTGTTCGTATATAATGTGTAAGGAAAAGGGTAGCAAGAGAGGGAGAGTGTGTGTAGATAGCCTTGTTGGCGTAATGTCTAGGTAAGCATATAACAAGATATCTACGTAAGCATAGAAATAAGATGTCTATGTAAGCATAAAAATAAGATATTTATGTAAGCATGAAAATAAGATGTTTATGTAAGCACAAAGATAAGATATTTTTGTAAGCATGAAAATTTGATATTTATGTAAGCACAAATATAAGATATTTATATAAGCATAAAATTAGATAACGATAATTGTGTTCTCGCTGATCTGCAATATCGTTCTTCCTGATGCAGTTGCCCGAAGCGCACGTTCAAGTGCAAGTACGGCGGGTGCCTCAAGCGACTCCAGGTGTGCGACGGGAAGGCACAGTGCTTTGACGGCTCCGACGAAGACCCCAAGCTGTGCGCGAAGAAGAGCTGCTTCTCGAGGCATTTCCAGTGCTCCTACGGAGCCTGCATCAAGAAGGTGAGTTTTGCCAATCACGTAAACCAATTATTATCAAGAGACGAGGGCAGTAATTAAACAGTCAGTCAGACTAACCACAATTAAAATGAGCGCAGCAGTCAATCAATCAGGCAATCTAATCAAATAAATCCTTAAAAGTTGATGACAACCAAAAGTTGAGTGCCGCAACCAAGGAATTTGAGGAGAGCAACCAACCAATCAAAATCAAGAAGCTAATGACAACAACCAAACACAGAGTTAACAGCCGGGAAATAAAATAATGGTAATACTCTTCTGAGGATTTTTTCAACACACTCCTGTTTACATAACTGCACCCCCCCTTCCACCCACGCCCATTGTTATTACACGCATATCCATTTGTACATAGATACGCAATTATTGCGACGGTGCCTCATCTTGGCAGCAAGTATCAGTAACTTCTATTAACTCATTGGGGCAAAGTTAGGCCTAGCCCTTCATTTCTTCCAAAAAAATATACAGTGTGATAACCACCAGTTTCGATTCATCCGAAATATAGCCCACCATGCTTCGGATTCGGAATCGAAGCTGGTGATTCCTAGAGTGGCAAGTGGTGAACTTAGCGAAAGAGGGAATGGTGCAGTGCTTTGTGTGTCGGCGTTTGATTTATTTGTGGTACGTGTGCTTGTAAAGCTACGCCCATATGGATGCTAGGAAGGACAGGTGGCGTGCATACATTCTCGCAATGCTTGTATTTCCTCACTTATATTTTGGATATCATGGTTCTTCCATATGTGTGTGTGTGTGTGTGTGTGTGTGTGTGTGTGTGTGTGTGTGTGTGTGTGTGTGTGTGTGTGTGTGTGTGTGTGTGTGTGTGTGTGTAAGCGAGAGAGAGGCAGACTAATGCTCAATCCTCTCCGCAGCATGAAAAGTGCGATGGGGTTTCGGATTGCTCCGATAGCTCGGACGAGACTCCGGAACTCTGCGGTTCAGGCCACACGTTCACGAAAACCGATTCACGGTTGCGCATCCCAGCGGACCTAGCGTCCTTTTTAAACCCACAACCTCCAGCACCTTCTACCACACAACCAACAACTACTACCACAAATCCACCTCCACCACCAACAACTACCACACAGCCAACAACAACTACCACACAGCCAACAACAACTACCACACAGCCAACAACAACTACCACACAGCCAACAACAACTACCACACAGCCAACAACAACTACCACACAACCACCCCCACCACCACCAACTACCGGGCAACCACCCTCACCGTCGCTACCCAGTACAGACTCAGACTTAGAAGCTCCATTTCCTTACACCTCGAGTTTTCCGGGCGAGGACGTCCTCAGCTGCGATGGCGTCCAGTCGTGTCCTTGCCCTCCACCTTTGCAACATTTCTGCATCCCCTGCAATGCTCGGAATGAAACCTGCGCTCGTATCGGTCAGTCCTTTAACCTCTTTCCTGTAGTTGGCTTACTAAATCGAATTCAGTTGCAGACTACAAGGAGTCTTTTACAGTTTACTGGCAGTTCAACCACTCAGGGTTTGAATTGCCAGAAGTAACCCCACCAATGATGATAAATGAATAAATAGACAAGATTAATGACAATAATGATGATGATAATGATAATAATGATGACGGTGATGATAATAAAAAACAAAGGCACCACAAGTGTACCATAGATAGAAGAAGACAAGAGCGCTTTCCTTTACATAGACGTCACACCTAATGAAGAAATTTTGGCATACGAGGATTTTGAGTTTTTGTTTTTTTGTTGTTGTTTTTTTCATTTATTATTATTTAATGTAGGCCTATTGTATTTCTGGTCAATTCTGAAGGCTGGTTCAAC